TGGCAAGGCTGTTCTTTAGGTACTGATATGATCTCCAAGATAAAGTGTTGTTACTATTTATGTTAAAATAAATATAGGAGGTGGAGAGGAAGGCTATTCCTGCTATCATTAATCCTTACACACAGCGACTTGCTTGTGGGACTCCCTCTGGTGGCGTATATGTTTATAGAACGCACTCAGAAAACACTGGTTGGCTTTGAATGGACAGATTTTTATGTCTTTTGGATTTTGAAAAATATAAACATAAAAATAAGTAATGCAAATTCAACTTTAAAAATATAAGAGAACTATATCATGTAGTGATATAGAACCATATATTGTTTAGTAAATAACATGAGAAAAGCATCGTTTGTGTCGAATATTTTTTTTTACACATTATCTAGAAAGACAAGACACGCAAGTAATGGGGAAAGCTAATGTAGTACTATTACTTGGTATAAAACCAAAACACCAAACCCACTACTGCTGAGTCTATAGTCTAATCCAATGACTCCTCGTCAAAGCAGAACTGCCCTAGGGAGTTTCCAAAGCTGTAATCATTTCTCCTGCAGAGCTCAGCTGGTAGATCCAAGCCCATCACCTCTTAGATAGCACGTGAGTGCTTTCATGACTCTTCTGTTATTGCCATTTCACATAGGAACCACATAATTGACATACATATTCATGTGTTTGTTGTATGTGCACTTTGCCTATGTAGTAGTTGTGTACATTGCCTGTTCCCAGACATGGTGAAAGATGTAAACTCAATTGAAATGATTAAATAGAGCAATATACATGAGAAAAAACTTGAGAATAATTGCAAATTCACATAACATATGCTACGTGAGGAGTCCTGGTACGGCGCTGTGGGTTAATGCTCCAGACTGCAAAGCCGTTTGAACTGCAAGGTCGGCGGTTCAAGCTCACCAGCCGCTCCTCGGAGCTCACCAGCCGCTCCTCAGAAACCCTATACAGGGTCGCTATGGGTCGGTACTGACTATGGCACTTAACAACAAAAACAACATGCTACATGAAATCAATTAAAACAAAGGTTTAAATAAGTAAGGAAATGAGTGTGCTCTGATCAGCACAGGCTCCACTTCTTAGACACGTTCACAGAATGGTCTGGGCCCAGCTAAAACCTGCTGCTGCTGCTGCTGCTGCTGCAGGTTTTCTCCTGGTGGTCTCTCTCCACCTCCCTTGTGTGTATCACTTTTGTAAAAATGTTGCCAGAGCCACCTAAAGGAGTTGTCAAATAATAAGCAGGTTCTCAGATAGAAGGATTCATTATGCTGGCACCTGGCTCAGTGGATTCACATCCAGAGACTGAGCTACCCTGGGCTACAAGGGTTTCATAGCAGGCAGGGCTGCCTGCCAAGGGGGTGAGGAGGGGAGTGACGGGGAAACGGGTGTTGGATACCATCTGCAAGTGTTTGTCCTTATACAGAAGCAAGAAGGCAAAGCAGGTTAGTAATGTGGCTTTTTCTGTTGGGGACTTTCAATCCTTTACGTTTCTTTTACTCAGAAATGGCGTGAGTTTCTATCTCACAGAGACTGGTTCACCTAAGAGACCGTACACCACAGCTCCAAGAATCCTCCCCCTTTCAGGAGACTTAAGGCAGTGGTGGTCCTTGAAGACAGTGAGGTGAGCTCATTAGAAGTCTCATGGTTGGTACAAGTACAAATTCTGGGGCTAGAAAGCTGATTTCATTTCCTACCTCTACCACTCCCTAGTCTTGTGTCCATCATTAAGCAAGTTTATCTATTTCTTTTCTGCTTTAATTTCCTTTTCTGTATTTTAAAGATGATTAACTAGTGCCATTGAGTCAATTCTGACTCCTAGAGATACGATAGTAAAGATGATAATAGTTTCTAAAATGTAACATAAAACTTGCCATTTTTACTATTTTTAAGTATATGATTCAGTGGCATTAATTACATTCGAAATGTTGTACAGCTAACGCCATCATCTATTTACAAGCTTATAAAGAGAAATTATAATAATAGTTTAATATTTGTTTTACTAGTATGAGGGATTCAGTGAGTAACTATATGCAAAGTGTTTACAATAGCAACATATAGGGAGCACTTGGTAAGCGTTTTTTACTTTCAGGGATGATGCTGTGATTTCTCCATAGCAGATCTGATTGGCAGTCACCTGACCCTCTCTGTCCCTGTTCGTTACTCCACTCTAGTCTCCCATTGGCTTTTGGCAACGGAACAGGTACTGGACAACTTCCAACAGCCTACAATCGCAATCCTGTCCAGGAAAGCATCTTGTGCATAACTCTCTTCCCAAAACATACACCACAGAGGAAGAGCATCCTAAGATATTTTAGGTTCTGGAAGGAAAAGAATCCCCATTTGGGAGGAAGTAAAATGTGCACAGCAGCTCCTTTTCCAGTTGACTCATCCCTCCCTCTCTCTGACTTTCACCCTCACATCTCAAAAGCAGTCAAACTCTGCTTGTGTCCAAACTCCAGCTGCTTTGCAGGGATTAAAAATTAGCCACCCTCAGAATCAGATGGCCAGTGTCTGTTTTCCTTTCACCGTGTATCCACCTTAACCAAAACCAGAAAATGTTCAATTGTGTTCCTACACCTTGAACAATACTGTACGATATAATTTTTTGTGATAGAAATGGTCTATATTTGTGCTGTCCAATACAGTAACTACTAACTAGTTAGACTTGAAACCTGGTTAGTATTATCAGTTTTAGATTCGAGAGTGCTATAGCAGCCCTGAGTCCCAGAGTGTCACTGCAGCTCTTGATCCTTTGTCTTGTCCAAGAAACCAAGGCCACTTAGAGAGGTGAAGTAGAGTTTCAGATTTTATTAAGCCAGCTGGCTCAGAGGAGCTAGTTTCTCCAGATTCTGAGCCCCAAATACAGGGCAGTGCAGACTTATAGGGGTCAGAATTGGGGGGAGGGGACAGGTTGCAGACCTGTTTGAAGACAGGAGGGAAACCAGAGGATTGGTTCCACTCAGTAACCTGATTAACATTCTAGTTTGACTCCTGGGCAGAGAGGATTGGTCCCACTCAGTAACCTGATTAACATTCTAGTTTGACTCCTGGGCAGAGAGGATTGGTCCCACTCAGTAATCTGATTAACATTTTAGCCTGTCTCCTGGGCAGAGAGGGCAGTGAATGTTTTCACCTTTTCCTGTTCACTTCATAAAGATGTGCAGTCTCTCTCGGAAACTCTCAGAAGCACTTCTACTCTATCCTAGAGGGTTGCTATGAGTCAGAGCTCACTCCCTGGCAGTGAGTGTTTAGTGATTACTGTACTGTGTAGCTCTGAAGTGGTCATCCTGACTCATTTTCCTTACTTGTGCAGCATCCATATTGGGAACCATATTTTTGAAACTTGGTGCTAATGCTTGTGTAGTCTTTCTGGTATTCAGCTGAGTGCAGGGAGAGGGAGCAAGGTCACATTTCCATCCTGATCTCCCTTTCCTCTGTGACTAGAGGAAATCAGCAGCAGCTGGGAGCATGTACCATGGAGGTGGTGTTGAGTTTGCTATTCTACCTTCCTTGTTTAATTGGCTCTCTGAGCTCAGGTGCCCATCAACTTCTGAAGCTCAACTCAGATCTTTCCAACATGCTTCCTTTGGGAGCAAGAGGCTAGCTAAACCCAAGAGACTCTTCACATGTCTGAACATGAGTAAGGGGGCTTGATTTCACAGTAGAAAACAAAATTGGACATCAAGGGGACTGGCCTGATAATGACAGTTGTGACACAATGGATATAGGAGACCAACTCTAACTCTTCCTTTTTTAAGAGCCAACCGAATTTATTTATTTTTTTTTAACAAGGATGGTGCCAAAAGCAAAGAAGGAAGCCCCTGCCCCTCCCAAAGCTGAAGCCAAAGCAAAGGCACTAAAGGCCAAGAAGGCAGTGCTGAAAGGCATCCACAGCCGCAAAAAAAGAAGATCCACACATCACCCACCTTCTGGCAGCCCAAGACTCTGAGGCTCTGAAGGCAGCCCAAATATCCTCAGAAGAGCACCCCCAGGAGAAACCAGCTTGACCACTATGCCACCATCAAGTTCCCTGACTACTGAATCAGCCATGAAGAAGACTGAAGATAATAACACACTTGTGTTCATTGTGGATGTCAAGGCCAACAAGCACCAGATCAAACAAACTGTGAAGATGCTCTATGACATTGATGTAGCGAAGGTCAACACCTTGATCAGGCCTGATGGGGGAAATAAAGCATATGTTCCACTGACTCCCAACTAGGATGCTTTGGATGTTGCCAACAAAATCTGCATCATCTAAACTGAGTCCAGCTGGTTAATTCTAAATATAATTTTTTTCCAATACATAAACATTAAAAAGAGCCAACAGAAATCCCTTGATTAATATCAAGAGGAGAGGGATTAAAGAAACCTCATAAATCATATAAACAAGCCTTTTCCTGATCTGTTACAACTGACCGGACCCCTAGTAACCCCTCTTCCAGAGGCTGGGTCACTGGGATGGAGAGGGGAGGGAGGCTCAGTACCAGGCTTCCTCTGCTCCGATCCTCCAAGGGGGTGGAGAAGGCAAGCCCTGGTCATCCCTTTGGTCTGTAGCTCTTTTGTGTAAGTGCCTGGCAAGGGTGACGTGGGTTCTTTCTGCAGGCACAGCTGCAGCCCTGCTGGGGTGGAGGCAGGTCCCGGGAAGCACTGCCCTCCCAGATCCTCCCTTCAGGCTGCTCAGTGGTAGGGGACATGCACCCTGCTCACCCTGACCCCACTGTGGGGGTTCTCTGTCCCCAGTAGCAGTGAGATGGCAAGTGTACTGAGCTGCTCTCTGCCCAGCTGCCTCCCCTCCCTCCTCTTTTTCCTCCTCCTCCAGACGTCTGTCAGCTACGCAGGTAAGACATGTCTTTTTTTCTGTCCTGGAGAGACCCTAAGAATTGAATGCTCAGGTCTCCTGGGCTTACCTGTTTCGTTTCATTTTATCCTCAAATTATTATGTGAATTGGGTTTCTAAAGCAGGGGTGGGGAAGCTTTTTTTCTGCCAAGGTCCATTTGGGTATTTCTATAATTTGTGGGCCAGAAAAATTATCCATTTAAAAATTAGCTTGCTATAGTTGGATGGCTAAAACTACGGTTGCCTTGGCAGGGTCAGACAAAAGGATAAGACCCACAGGCCAAACGTCCCCCATCCCTGTTCTAAATCAGAGCTTTGTTGATGTGCTTTCCCCAAGTCTTCAGATTAGAATCCCAACTCCTTACTCTGATCTTGACTCAAAGCTTTTCTTAAACTAGTTCGTATCTTCCCAGCTTTGGTTTCTCACCTATAGAATGGGAATATAGTAATAACAACCTCTTGTAGTCACTGAGGTCCCTGGATAGGACAAAAGGTTTGTGCTCAACTACGTTAATCTAAAGGCTGGAAGTTCAACACACCCAGCAGCATCGTAGAAGAAAGGCCTGGTGACTGGCTTCTGTGAAGATTACAGCCAAAACAATAAAAACAAAAATCCTATGGGACTCAGTTCTACCCTGTAACTTACGAGGTCATCATGAGTCAGAATTGATTCGTCAGCAATGACTTTTTTTATTTTGCTTTGATATGGAGTTACCATGACTGTTAAACGAGACACACAACAGGCTTAGTAGTGCGTGTCCTATAGTAAGTAAATGCTTATTGAATGCAGTGTCTGAGAGCCATAGTCTACATGATCAGGCATCAACAGGGCTTTATAGGTGAATTCCATTTTCATTTGCTGCAGAGAAATAAAAGAAACAGAAAACAAATTCCCAATTTCACCTAATAGGGGAAGACAAATCCACCCCTCTCCTTGGGAAATCTCCCCGAGTCTAATGGAGAAGACCAGCTTATCTCTCTCTCGTAAGCTAGAATGGAGTCCTGGTGTGGCACTGTGTGATAATGCACTGGACCGCAAGGTCAGTGCTTCAGATTCACCAGCGGCTCCTCAGAAACCCCAGACAAGTCGGAACCGACTTGATGGCACTTAACAAAACAACAGGTATCTGACTAAGGAGACACACTCCCATAGGAAAGAGACTGACAACATGCACAGCACAGGGTCCAGGACTCCTAGTAAGGGTTGAAGGCACCGAGAAACAGCAAAAAGAGATAGAGCCATCCCCCAGCGTGGCCGACTTCAGGGATGAATTTGGGGAAGCTGGTGCAAAGGAGACAAGAGGGCTGAGAAGTGGTAGAGAGGCAGTGGGTAGTATGGCAATGCAAACCTCTAATGAGAGAGTAGGGAGCAATTTAGCCAAGTCCAAACAGAGAAACTTATGAGAGAATTAAACTTCAAGATGCTGAACCACAGTCCAAGATGGGGCCTAAAGGCTGGGCTGAAGAGTCAGAGACAACAGGTGACTAAGTCAGAGATGGTCAGTTGGTGGAAAGGTGGACAGTAAATGTCAAGATGGCCACATGCTAGAATGTTCTGTCCAGGGAATTCACAGCATCTTCATAGCAGAGATCTTTTTTAAATATATGTTGTTGTTATTGTTGTTAAGTGCCGTCGAGTCGGTTTCGACCCATAGCGACCCTGAACAGGATTTCCGAGGCTGTAAATCTTTACGGGAGTAGATCGCCTCATCTTTCTCCCGCGGAGCAGCTGGTAGTTTCGAACTGCTGACCTTGCGGTTCGCAGCCCAATTCGTAACCACTACGATACATGAAGGAAAATTGAGCTACTCCCTGACTATGGAATTCCATTTAAAAAACAAGTGTCTTCATCCTTCCCTGTTTAAAAGCTGCCCTTCCAATGATGTACTTATTTGTCAAGGTTTCCACTGATTGTTAGACTCTTCTTTGGTGCCTTGGACAGGACAGTTCAGAGTGATCGGACCAGGACACCCTATCCGGGCTCTTGTGGGAGACGAAGTAGAACTACCATGCCGCCTATCTCCTGGGAAGAATGCTACAGGAATGGAGGTGGGCTGGTATCGCCCCCCTTTCTCCAGGGTGGTTCATCTCTACAGAAATGGCAAAGACCAAGATGGAGAGCAGGCCCCAGAATACCGGGGCCGGACAGAACTGCTGAAAGAAACTATTGGTGAGGGTAAGGTCACCCTCAGGATCCGGAATGTAAGATTCTCAGATGAGGGAGGTTATACCTGCTTCTTCCGAGACCACTCATACCAAGAGGAGGCAGCGATGGAATTGAAAGTGGAAGGTGAGTAGCACATATTAGGTATCATCTGTTGGGTGGCTAACATCTCCTTTTAAAATGATCCTCTTAATTGAGATGAGATCCTTCATCCCACACATGCTTGGAAATCGACCCCATAGAAATATTCACAAAAGTCTACAGGAACTCATAAGCTCAGGAATGTCTGTTGCATAATTATTCAGCGTTGAAAAAAAAAATGGAATCAAAGGTAATACTCATGGGGGAATGACCGAATAAATATAGCCATCCATGTGATGAATATTATGAATCATTAAAAAAGACTGTTTAAAGCTATACCAAATGGCTTGGAGCAATTCTCCCAGGCACTAATGAGTAATAGAAGCAAGTTATAAAAAATAGAGAACAAAAACAAAACCCCTGTATTTCTTGGTATGTGTATGTTGTTGTTAAGTGCTGTAGAGTCAGTTCTCACACCAACACTATATAGAGTTTCCAAAGGAACAGCTAGTGGGTTTGAACCACTGATTTTGCAGTTAGTACTCCCATAGTACTTAACAACAACAACAATCCCCATAGTACAGAGAAAAATATAAAACGATACAAGAAAGTTAGTATAGATCATCACTGTGGGTGAAGATAGGACAAGGGAGGCTAGTGGCTTGATACACATTAAAAATACTTACAATTATTTATTTGTTCACACTAAATTATGCATATGTATATTTGTGTGTACACAGAGAAAAAAATTTTTAATTAACCAAAAAAAAGGAAACAAAGTAATATAATACATAGGATAGCAAAAATCCAAAATAATCAATTTCTGATTATTTTATGCCAGAAGTGAACAGGATAAAATTGATAGTTAATCTAAGTATCCAAGTGGACTTTTTTCTTTCCCTGTTTTGTTTTGCGACGTCTTTTGGTTTGTTACAAACAAGAGCATTATTTTCCTATCACTTCAAATTGGTCAAATCCATTACAATGAATTGTTGATTTGTAATGTTTTGTTAAAGAACATTATTGAAAAACAGTCTTTGTATATATAGTCCAAGTGAATAAACAGGTAGACAAATGTTTGAGTATAATTGGAGAAAGAAAGAGGCAGAACCTGTGGATTTTACCTCTCTGTAAAATTGTTAAGTGTCCTTGAGTTGGTGGCAATTCATAGCGATCCAGTAGAGGATTTCCAAGGAGCGAGTGGTGAGTTTGAACCACTGACCACTGACCTTGGGGTTCAAACTGACCTTGCAGTCCTGAGCTTATCCTACAGTGCCAAACAAGAAGTTCAAGGAAACCCGAGGAGGAGCAGTTCTACTGTGGTAACACACAGGGTCACCATTAGTCAAACTTCATGACAAAGGGCTTTTGGTTCTTTTTTTTTTTTTTTTTGGTTTCCTTTCTCCAGAATCTTAATTTTTAACATCTTTTGTGTGATGGATAATTTTGGAGTTCAGTCTTTCTTCTATTCCCAGGACGGTTAAGACATGGACACAGTGAGGGGGAAGAGGAAGTTTTGAAAGATAACTGCCATTTAATTGAAGAACAAAAATATTTTGAGAGCCTGAGCCTCAGACCCTAGAGCAATCCCATTTCCCTGGTGTGGCGCTGTAGCATAAGCACTGGACTGCTAGCAGTCGCTCTTTGGAAACCCTATACCGGTTGCTTTGAGTTAGAACTGACTCCAAGACACTCAAGAACAAACAACAACAACCTCCCCACCTGCAGTGCAAACATCAGACAATCAAGCGGTTTTGTACATTGAGGGTGACTTTTGCAGCGCTGGGACCAGAAGACAGCATTGTATCCCAACTAACAAAGCACTGTTTCTAGGGATAGACTACAAGTGTATGAAAATAGCTTTGTGTGCCACAGAATGTTCATACAGCTATTTTTATTGGGGGATTTTTACCTGCAAAGAAGAGTAACGGTGAGGACCTTTTCCAGTTTGCAGATTTCTTCAATCCTGCTTTACCAGCTCAATGGTTCCCCCCCTTCTCCCCAACACACTCCCCCAACCGGTGAAAGAAAGAGAGGAGAGTGAGAGACAGAGAGAGGGAACCCAGAACCCCCCAAAATAAAAACAAAGCTAACTAAAGTTTTGTCTCAAGGGAGGTCACGTTTTGTTTGAGCTGGTTTCCACGTTCTAATCTCCTTACTCCCACACTGTAGTTTGTATGCCTTAAAGGGTGAAAAGAGACGGTTTTACAAGTAATGGCAGACCACCAGGCTGGCCCAGGAGCTAGGAAGCTGAGGCAAATGCAGGAATAAAATTCAACAGTCGTGTTATTTCTCTAAAGAGTATTTTTTAAATCTCTCTTTCTGACTTTATTTTTAAATTTCTTATTCTTTTGGTGATTTTATTATTAATCATCTCTAACCCTGTCTTTAAACGTTCCATTATTAAAAATTTAAATATATACAAGAATAGAGAAAATATCAGGCATATCCAAGCACCCTGGTGGTTATCAGCCCAAGTTCCAGCTGATATCACCTGATTCCCACCGTCCTCAACTGAATTACTGTCAGGCAAATCCTAGGCAGCATACAACGTCATTGCTTCTTCTTTCATATATATCTCTAAGGTATAATAACTCTTTATAAAAAAAAACACACTTTTATGACAGCTTTAAAATTTAACAGGAAGTTCTTAAAGATCATCAAATACTCAACAATCTATATTCAAATATTCCTGATTGTTTCAAAAATACAGTTTTACAATTGGTTTATTTGAATTGGAGTCTCTGGATGTTGCAAAGGGTTTATGGCCACAGCTGCTAACCAGAAAGTTTGGTTTGGACTTGCCCAGAAGTGCCCTGGAAGAAAGGCTTGCCAATCTACTTCTGGGGTAGAAAAGGGGCAGATAGAACAGTCATTAAAAACTCTATGGAGCACATGTTATGTGC